GTTTCAGTGATGGATGAACAAGAAAAGGCATCATGGCTAAGTTTCAAGGAAGTGTGCACCAAGTTTTTAGGCAACACCAAAGATGCTGATTACGAAAATATTGTGGCCAATATGATCGCAAACTTTCAGCGTTCAGGTTGCCTAATGAATTTGAAACTTCACTTTCTTGATTCGCATCTCAACAACTTTCCGGAGAACAACGGAGACTTTAGTGAAGAGCAAGGAGAAAGATTTCATCATGATCTCAAAGAATTTGAACGGTGATTTCAGGGGCAGTGGGGAGTAAATATGTTTGCAGATTACGGTTCCGCGACAATTGATCCCGCGACATTATATCCCTTGATTGTGTCGCTGACTTGTCTATACGACAAATTTAACTACAAATTAATATTTGTTATTTACCGTAAGATGGACGGTGGTGTTTACTCAAGTCAGGTCTTAATAGGTGACTGAATAGTAGTTACGGACAGTGTCTCGGATAGCTTAATTGGTAGATCCTTTGGCGCGTAACCGAACGATCCGGGTTCGAGTCCCTGTCCGGGCTGTCCAAATTATATTTTTTCAGTTACCAAAAAATTCCTCCTGAGTAAAAAAAGGTCCCCCTTCCCCCTTATCCTTTTAATTTTAAGGAAGTGAGAATTTGTCCGATGAGGCATGAGGCACGGGTCTATACATACACTACACTCGTGTAGATATTTCATACACACGGGGCACAAGTACGAGCACGGATACAGTGTATGATAGATCCGTGTCCCGTGCCTCATCGGACGAATTCTCATACTCTGATTTTAATTATAACATTTTTATTATGTACATAATTTTAATTCAGAATTTTTATTATGTACATAATTTTAATTCCCAATTTCTATTATGTACATAATTTTAATTCTGAATTATTATTATGTATATAATTTTAATTCTGAATTATTATTATGTATATAATTTTAATTCTGAATTATTATTATGTACATAATTTTAATTCTTATTTGTATTAAATTTGAGATTAAAAGAAATTAAAATGTTATAAATAATCACTCCAAAAATATAAATCTACAAGAGCCAATTTAATTTATGTCACTACATAAAAAAAATTGTTAGTTAAAATTATGTCCTCAAATAATTATTAAACTCTTATTTTCAATTATCATGACACATAATAAAAATATTCTTTTTGTCATCAGCTCAACTCAGAATTTTAATTCTTTGATATATTATTATGTCCCTACATAATAATTATTCCTTAAAAAATTAAAGTGTAAACATAAAATTGATCTATTATATTTTGACTATGTTTTAACATAAAATATGCATTTTTCCTTTTAGTTATTAATTTTAAGATCATTTTTTTCCTTCTATTAAATAGTAAAACGGCGTGCCATAAAAAACTGCAGTCGCAGCAATGAAAAAAATTTTTTTAACCTAGATCATGTATGATTTGCATATATTTCAATTCACGGAATCTAAATCTAAACATTTAGTAACTCCTTGAGCCGTCAAAATTTGAAAAAATTGCAATAAACCCAAAAAAAAATTGCAAGAAATCATGAAAAATCGAAATTATCGAGATCAAAAAATTTTTTGGATTCACATTGAGTATGATTTTTATGTACTTTGTTCCACTGAATTTATATCTGAAGTTTTCTGAAGTTTTCTTGTCCTATTGACGTTTTAAAATTAAAACAAATCTCAAAAAATCGAGAAAATTGCAGTTATAAAAATCTATTGAACACGATCGTTAATGACTTAGGAGTATTTTCATGGATCCCGAGAAAAAATATTTATATATAATTATATATATTTATATATAAATTGATTATATATGATTATATATGAAAAATGGCCAAATATAATCATATCTAATTATATATAATTATGTATAATTATATATAACTATATATAATTATATATAACAATATTTAATTATAGATTTATTACATCTAATTAATTATTGGGTTAATTTTATGGATAGAGTATTTAATATGGTCCTACGCAATTCTGTGTAACTGATCGAAATGCAAAAAAATATCTAGATCTAATTTCATGGCTATAACACCAGCGCGGTCACCCATCCAACTATTAACCCTACTCAATGCTGCTTAACTTTGGTGATCTCCGTGCGTCTTGAAGTTTCTGTCTGCTATGCTGCTGTCTTAGACAATAATGATTCTATGATCTACTTAATGTATCATATTCGTTTATCATAAATATAATATAAAAATTGATTTTATAATATATTTGGATAGTCATAATTCATAATTTATTCATCTTACCGAATTTCATTATAATATAACACTTATTTAAATAATAAAATAAATAATGATTTCACTATTACGTAGTAGCAGAGCAGACAAAACATCTCATAGGAAATGTGACAAATTTTGTATTTCAGAATTATTTAAACGTAATTATAAACATCATTTTACACTTTTTGTGATTACCAAAAAAAATTTTTTTTTCAAAGAAAAAATTTTTATATATGTTAATTATATATAAGCATATATAATTATATATGGGACTATGTACAATCTTGCATAGCTGTATATTGCTCCATATATGGTCATATATGATTATATATGACCTCATATACAATTCCATATATAATCATGTATGATTATATAATTCCATATATAATCATATATATAATTATATATAATCTTGCTTGGCTGTATATTGCTCGATATATAGTCATATATAATTATATATGATTATAAATAACCTCATATACAATTCCATATATAATCATGTATGATTATATATAACTATATATGATTATATATAATCTTGCTTGGCTGTACATTGCTCTATATATAGTCATATATAATTATATATGATTATATATAACCTAACATACAATTCCATATATAATCATATATGATCATATACAATTATATATGATTATATAGAAACATTTTTTCTCGGGATGGAATGTGATTTAAAAATTGAAAAGCTGACAAAATTTTAAAATCTGTTAAAACTAGCATGTAACCCTAGCAGAAATACAGTCAAGTGTCTGCCAGTAACTGGCTAGGTTAACTAGACTTAAGCTAGGAACCGGCTGGTATAATATCCAGTAACTCAGTTACTGGCCAGTTTTACTAGACATCAAATAAAACATGGCGACACTTGTAGGATTTAAGTTTATTTAAAATTAAATGTGGATAAGTTTGTTACAATTCAAAATTATAGTAATAATAATAAAAAAGCCATTCGGCAGCCGAAATGGAAGTGGATTTTTAAAATAAAGAAAATTGATTTTTAGTAAATTAATATAGTCACACTAATGATGAATAACTTAATTCATGAATTAAAAACAAAATTTAATAATAAATTTAAAACTATTTAGAACTGGAAAAAAAATTATTTTGTGAAGAAAAAGTTTCTCAAATATTCACCAAAGAATTGCAAACATTACAAGATTTGAATTATAAATGTCCAAATTTTAAGTAACTGCTTAGGAATAACAGTTTCCAAGTTAAACAGTTTATATATATATATATATATATATATATATATATATATATATATATATAACCGCGAAAATATCGTCCAAGATGACGAAAAACAAATTCTGGTAGAGTTTGAGCTCTTAATATCAATATCTAGAGGTGTCACGTGGTGATTTTTGATTTCCCATTTAAAATAACACGGGAATTTTTTTTTTTTTTTATTTATTTTGATGTATCTCAACGAGTTATTGTGTGGTAAAAATAAATAGATATTTTTGTAGGAAAATGAACGGCCTACAAAAAAGGTCTGATGTAATTTTTCGCTAAGTCAACTCGGTTAAAAGTTATTCGCAGTTAAAGTTCAAATTAAAATAATATACGATGACTTTCACAATTTTTTATACTTTTTAACAAATAAACGGCTTAAAATCATAAAACAACATATTTTTTGTGACTTTTCTCGTTTTTACTTCCCAAATTTAGCTGATATCTAATTATTAAGAAAAAAAAATATTCAAATCGGTTTACCGTGGAGGCCACTTCTGGAATTTCCTGTTTTTTTTGAGGTTTTATCAAATTTTATTTCTGTACACAGAAAAAAAATGTTCTTGAATCAAGTATATAATTTTGAAGAACTTAATCTTCTTGATTTGAGTAAAAAATTCTTGACCTAATACATTTTTCTTGATTTAAGGAAATTTTACCTGATTCAAGAATTTTTCGTCTTGATTCAAAAAAATTACCCTTTTCAAAATTATTTTCTTGATTCAAGAATTTTTCGCTCGAATCAAGTTAATTTGTTTTTTCAGTGTATGTACTGTATTTAAAGAATATAAATTTTTTGACAATCAATACGCCTGCACTCCTGTAGGGGAAGGAATTTCATAAAATTTTGTTCGAGATGGTTTCTACAACATAATTAAAAGATTCCTACAAAATTTTGAGTCCATAAAAACTATTATTTAGAAATAAGAATTGTTTATTTTTAACGCCCTCGCAATCCCTATTGAAGTTGAAATTTGATAAAATCTGGTCTTAGTTGAACTTTAAGAGAAAATTACACACAAAGATTCCTACCAAATATAGAGTTTATAGAAGTTACAGTTTGGAAATTGAAATTAAAAATTCTAACATCCATCCACGCAATCCCTATTGGAAGTAGGATTTATTGAAATCCGTATTGAAGTAGCAGAACAAGGAGGATTTGGCTCACCGATAAAGTAGATTTCTGCAATACCGACATTAATTTTCTGTGGAGTTTCTGCGATATCGATGGTGGGTTTTGTGCTCTTTTTTACCGACTGTTGTGTGATTATCATCGATTTGGCGGTGTCGATATTTACCGACTGTTGGGGGATTATCATCGATTTGGTGATCGATTGTTTGAGATCAAAATGCTACCACCCCAACAGCAGAGCTGATACCTGTGCCGTGTACCAGCTTTGGTGTGGATGTGATATGCACTTATTTGATGTGATGATGAATTTTATATATATTCAAATGATTTGTGGTATGCGAGAAAGATCGATACTTACGCCGCTCTGGTGGGACCTAATGGAGGTATTGAAGTTCATTTATCGATTTGAGGTAAGTTTTATCGACAGTTGATGTCAATTAGTGACCTATGTTATCGATTGTGGGTATCAACAGTCGTTATTATGCTGAATGATGTTCTGTTTTATCGACGTAGGATAAAAGTTTTTTGAATTTTAACGTTTTTTAGCTCCTACTCTCGCGATTACATCATGTTTTTACGTCATCCAACCACCAACCGAGAAGAAGTGAAATAATTCCTAACACAAAATCGTGAAATATTAGCATCTACAGATATTTCTGACTGGTATAAAAATCATGTAACCAATGCCTTGATAAGAAAAATTGAAGAATTCTGTCAAGAAAAATCCGGATGGCGTTTATCAGAAATCTCAAATTTAGTAATAACGATGTCAAAATATCAACCCCTTCATGCTGGAATCTCAACTTTTGTGAGGATGCCTCAGAAGATAATAAACCGACATGCAGTTTTGAACATTGAAAACTTTGATGAATACTGCTTCCTATGGTGTGTTGTAGCTGCTATTCACCCTCCAAGGACGAGTCACAGAGAGAGGAGTACTTCTTATCCACATTCTAGTGAGGTACTTAAATATGATGGTATTAATTTTCCAATTCAAATCAAAGATATTGCGAAATTTGAAAAAATGAACAATTTATCTATTAATGTATACGGTTTAGGATCAGATTTTTCTAATGAGAAATCTGATAAGAAATCTGATGAATGTGTAATAATTCCAGTATATTTAAGTAAGTCTATAAATTATGATATAAATTCTGATCTAAAAACTATTCATCTTTTAATGATACAAAGTAATACAAATTTAAATATGAAAAACGATGATTATGATGATTATAAACCGATTTATCATTTTGCATTAATTAATAATTTATCAGCTTTAGTAAGAAGTAGTGTAACAAAATCACGCAAACAACATTTCTTTTGTGATCGATGCTTAAATCATTTTAAAATAAGAGAATCTTTTGAACGTCATAAAAAAGATTGTTTTAAAATTAATAAAGTTCACATGGTATTTCCAACAGAGGAAAATAAAATTTTAAAATTTAAAAATTTTCAAAGACAGGATACTGTACCATTTGTTATTTATGCAGATCTAGAACGTACACTGACACCTACCGATGATGACACCGACATTCATATTCCTCATAGCATTGCATTTTACCGCTTTTGTAATTATGATAATAAATTATCGAGATTTGAAATTAATCGTTCAGAAAATTGCATTGACTGGTTTGAAGGTAAACTTAAAAATTTTGCAATTGAAGTAGATTCATATTTAAAAAATCCAATACCTATGAAACCTTTGACTAAGCAACAATTAGAAGAACATAAACAGGCAACTATTTGTTATATTTGCGAAAAAAAAATTATAAATCCTCAAGACAAATTTTACGATCATAATCATTTTACGGGATATTACAGAGGACCTGCTCATTTATCGTGTAATTTAAATTATAAAAAATCACATACCATACCGGTAGTTTTTCATAATATGTCTGGTTATGACTCTCATTTTATAATAAAATCTTTAGTTAAAAATTTCAAAGGTACACTTGAATTATTACCAATCAACAAAGATCGTTATATTTCTTTCACTAAGTATGTTGAAAAAACATGCGTTAATCTAAGATTCATAGACTTATTTAAATTTATGGCTTCTAGTCTAGATAAATTAGCATCAAACTTAAAAGAAGATGATAAAAAGATAACAAAGCTTCATTATAATGATCTTGAAAAATTTAGATTAGTCATTAGAAAGGGAGTATTCCCATATGAATATATAACATCGATAGATAAACTCAATGATACAAAATTACCTGAGAGGAAGCATTTTTATTCGAAATTATCCAACAGTAATGTAACCAAAAAAAATTACGAATTCGCTCAATTAATCTCGAAAGAATTTAATATAAAAACATTAGGAGAGTATTCTGATTTGTATCTTAAAACTGATGTTCTTTTATTAGCTGATATATTTGAAAACTTTAGAAGTAATTGTTTAAAAACTTATCGCTTAGATCCTTTACACTACTATACAGTACCAGGGCTAGCTTTTGATGCAATGTTGAAATATACTGGTGTTGAGTTGGAATTATTAACAGCTTCGGAAATGATGCTATTCATTGAAAAAGGTGTCAGAGGTGGTGTTTCTCAGTGTACAAATAGATATGCATTAGCAAATAATAGATATATTGGGATATATGGGTGATAATTTTGATTCAAACAAACCAGAATCCTATTTAATGTATTTTGATGTTAATAATTTGTATGGTGCATCTATGAGTATGCCTTTACCTACAGGCTCATTTGAATGGGTTGAATTAAATTTCGATATAAATCAGGAAATTAATAAATTTTTAAATAATACCGAAGGTTTTGGCTATATACTTGAAGTTGATCTAAAATATCCAGAGGAATTATATGATCTACATAAAGATTTACCTTTATGTCCTGAACACTTTTTACCTCCAGACAGCAAACATACAAAATTGGCAACTACCTTGTATGATAAAAAAGAATATGTAATACACTATAGAAATTTAAAACAATGTTTAGACTTGGGATTAAAATTAACAAAAGTACACCGAATTTTAAAGTTTAAAGAGTCACAATGATTAAAACCGTATATAGATAAAAATATTGATTGTAGAAAAGCTGCAAAAAATGAATTTGAAAAAGATTTTTATAAATTAAGGAACAATTCAGTTTTCGGTAAGACTATGGAAAATGTTAGAAAATATAAAGATGTTAGAATAGTTACAAGATGGTCTGGTAGATATGG